TACGGGATTTTTCGAAGTCTTTATTAGGCTGTTATTGTAAAAACCGTTGAAGCATGTATGTAACCTCGTCTAAACGTTACCTGAGGCTAATTTGCTATTTTTCTCGCTAAGTTGGTCGCGAGAAGAAAAAAAAAAAAAAAAGAAAGAAAAACGATATTCAGCTTTAATTTCCATCGGAAGTTTTTTTGTATGTCATTCTCGGGTTTTTATCCATGACAACTGTTTGTTGCTTAGCTGTCGAGGGAAACTAATTTGTCAATACGAAACACGCAGGATTCCAAATGTGATTCGTAAAATTTGGCGCAATTCTGGACAGATTGCAGTGTTTTGAAACAAGGAAATTTCAAAAACACAGAGAAGTGAAGGAGAAACGAATTCTTTGAGAATGAGAAGAAAAAAACACGGTAAGATGTGTTGGATATGAAGAAGAGAGATGGAAAGAGGCAAGAAAGAGAGACGGAGAAAAATTTAAGAAACGGCGAGTTACCAGAAAAAATGCAAGAGAAATTATTATTATTATTTTTTTTTACAGTTTATCAACCGTTTGCAGGTTATTTGAAGCTAAAAGTATTTTTAGATGGTAAGAATTGTTTGGAGATAGAACTGATTTACTCAAGACAGTTATTTGAAGTTAAACTGAAAGGAAAGCCTTTCATCGTATTTATTATAATTGTATACGCACCGACAGCACAAACTACGGAAGAAGAAATCAGATCGTTCTACTTCATGCCTCGACAACGCCAAGGCTCAGTGAAAATCACAAGAAATTATAATTATCATCGGGTACCTGAATACCAAAGTAGGCAAGCAGAGGGATGTTGGGAAATTCGGACTAGGAACCTGCAACAAATGCAGAGAAACATGTGCCCAATGGTGCACAGCCAATGACCAGGTAAAAGCCAACACCTGAACATCAACAATGATTATGGATATGGAGAAGGCCAGGAGGAGAAACTAAAAACCAAATAGACTGCTTAACTATCGGCAAAAGATTCAGGAATGCAATTGTTTACTGCAAAACCTATCCAAGTGCCGACTGCGGAAGCGACCACTTCCCTGTAAGCTAAGATTGAAACTACGGAAACTGATGAAGCCTAACGATATGGATAGTGTGAATAGAACATACGAGAGACAAAATGAAATAGGAAACTCATAATGGGACACACTAAGAGAAGATTTAGTGACATCCCAAAGGAAAACGGACGAGGTAGAAAAACGAATAGATCACAAACGATCACGTCATGATGCAAAGGAGACAGAAAACAATGCTAAGAAATGGCACGGAATATAGAAAACTTCTTTCTTTCTATGTGTTGTGTCCTTTCAGGACGTAGGCAATCATGGATTTCCACCACCCTCTATCCTTTGCAGTTCCTTCCCTCTGTCACCTCTCCCAGACCACGTTCTGTCATCGACTTGCTTAAGCCCGCTTGGTATGCCATGTGTTGTTTTCCTTTGTCTATATTTCCCTTATTCGACTCCTGAGTATCAAATTTTCCAGCTCCTTCTTCCTCATTATGTTTCCCAGCTGCCACTTCCTGATGTTAAGTATAAACCTCCTCTCTGTTTTCAACCTCTCCAAGATCTCATCATTGCTCACACGTTCGGTCCATGATATCCTTAGCATCCTGCAGTAAAACCGCATATCCGACGCCTAGAGTCTCTTCTTCATCTTTGAGGAAAATTTTCACTATTCGCTGCCGTAAAGAAGGATAGATGTCACGTATTCTTTTCTTCGTTAACAAAGAAACCCTCCTGTCTCGCAATACTCTGCCCAGCTTTTGAAATTCGCCCTTGGCTATCCTAATACGTCTAGGGATCTCAGTGCCACATTTACCGTCCTCTGTCAGAACGCTTCCCAGATATTTTAACTTTCCAGTCTGCTTGATTCTAATGGTCCCGACCTGCAAATCGCATTTTGGGGCTCATCCTTTTACTGATGACCTTTCACAGTGAAATAAAAAACAAATACAGACAGGCTAAAGAAGAATCATAGATAAAGGAAATATGCATAAAACAATAAGTGAACTAATAGGACAAAATGCATGCTCATCAACAGGCTGCAATCCAAGGACGGAACGCTCATATTAAAGAAAAAATTCTTCAGCGCTGGAACGAATATATTGGAGATCTCTTCCATGACAAAAAAAACGAACACCCGGCAACACACAGAAATACTGACGGGTCGGAATTATTAAAAACCGAAGTGGAAGCCAAAATTAAACAGAAACAAAGCAGCAGGGCCAGGCGGAATCGTAATAGAAATGCTGCCAGCTTTAGTTTATTTCGGCATAGACAAGATTACAGAAATAATAAATGAGATCCACAACAATGGCGATATACGGAAATACTTAAGCAGATCTATTTTCATAACACTACCTAAGAAACCAGGCGCAAACGAATGCAAACTCCACCGAACAATGAGCCACATAACAAAAATCATCATCCGAATTCTGATGGATACTCAGCAGAATCAGGCCAGAGATAGGATAAGAACAGTGCGGGTTCGTCAAAGACACTGAAACAAGGAACGCGATATTTATACCTTGAAATTTATCAGAAATAGCAATACAAATGCAGAATGACGTGTACCTGTGTTTCATAGACTACGCAAAGATGTTCGACAAAGCACGCCACAAAGATCTGTTAGAGCTGCTTAGAAACTTTGACATATTCGGGAAAGACATTAGAATAATCTCTACTGGCAGCAAACCGCCTGCATAAAGATAAAATATGAGTTCAGCAGATAGACAAAAATAGAAAGTGGTGTAAGGCAAGGGTGTGTCGTCTCACCGGACTTATTTAATCTATAAAGTGAAGCAATTCTGTGAGAATTATAAATCCTACCAGGATTCATCATCGGCGGCTACAATCGTATCAATATAAGATATGCAGATGACACAGTGCTGATAGCAGACACGGAAAGGAAACTACAACACCTACTACAGAAGATAGCAACGGTGAACAAGAAGAGGGGACTAAGCATAAACTACAAGAAGACATGGTTATTAGAAAAAATGACACCAAAATACAGACCGGGGATATTAAAATCAAGAAGGTACGGAAATTTAAATATCTCGGAGAAGTTCAACAGAGGACGTAAAGTGCGACACTGAGATCCGAAGACGTATTGGGGTGACCAAAGTTGCATTCAAAAAGCTAAGCAGAGTATTAAGAGACAGGAAAATTTCGTTAGAAAAAAAAAAAAAAAGTATTGAACTTTTTGCGTGATATCTGGTGTATGGCAGCGAATGCTGGAGAATCTCCTCAAAGATGAAGAAGAGACTCGAAGCAACAGAAATGTGGTTATACAGAAGGATGCTGAGGATATCATGGGCCGAACATGTGAGCAACAACAAGTTTTGAAGAGAATACAAACAAAAAGAAAACTTATACTTAACATCAGGAAGAGACAGTTGAAATTTCTGGGACACGTAATGAGGAAGGAGGGTTTGGAAAATCTGATACTCACAAGAGGGATAACGGGACAGGGGAAAGCAATGCGTGACATACTTAATGGGCTTGACCAAATGCATGGCAGAACAGTGTCTGGGAGAAATAACAAAAAAGACAAAACTTATTAAGTGTTACAAGTAACAGGAGTATGTGGAGGGCCATGATCGTCTACGTCCTGAAGGGACACAGCAAATAAAAGAAGAAGACTGATAGGTGTCCTACTAATTAACTCATAGGTGGAGGTGTGGAAAGAAGCGGGCGGGGTATTTGCGCGTAAGTGAATATAACGAACCCAACTGGAATTAGAACACGGCTCTCTGATTAACAATTCCCAGCCGTTATCTATTAAACTACTTGCACATCCAAGTTGACAGCATGTAGTTTTCCCGCGTTCTCACCCATCTAGGTATTGACCAGGCTCGGCGTTGCTTCACTTCGATGATCTTACAAGAAATGGTGTTTCGACGTGATACCGCAAAAAGACAGAAAAAGAAAGATAGATTTAGTCAAACAACAAGACAAGAAATAGGGAGGGAAAGTAAGAGAGAGATATGGAAGTGGGGAAAGAGAATAATGAGGAAAAGGGTAAGAAGTGAAAGATGGCGAGAGAGAGAGAGAGAGAGAGAGAGAGAGAGAGAGGAATGAAGGGGAGATAAACGAGGAGAAAACTGACATAGATAGATAGATAGATAGATAGATAGATAATGCACTTGTATAGATAGATAGATAGATAGATAGATAATGAACAGACGCAATATATAGTAGCGTTATGCCAGTGAAGGGTATAAAGGGAAATAAAGGTAGGAAGATGCTGTTGCGTCAATTCTCCAAATAAAGAACCTTTTAACAGTTGGAAATTCAACAATGATTATTTTCCTGGTCCCATCATTGTTCAATAGTCAATATTCAACTATCTTAGCCACGTAACAAGTCATATAGTAAATAGGTTTCATGCAGTTCAGCTAATTGACGCACTTCTACAACTCATTCTGTTTCCACTATCTCTTCATATATATATATATATATATATATATATATATATATATATATATATATATATATATATATATGCATGCATGTATGTATATATTACTGATACCCACTGACGAGTGGACGGACGGGTCTGTCTACGTAACTCTGGAGTCGGAATGTTGAAGGTAACATCACTCAACGACAAACCTTTTACTTGGTTCAGTAAGCCGAATGTTGTTTTTTAAAGAAATTGAAATTTTAACATTTGGTGGATAGGCGCAATACATTCTTCCACTTTGTTATGTTGAACTTGTGCTAGTCAGATCTAATCTTGAGAAATATTGCTATCCATAAATTTCTTTGGACATCTGAAACGGTGAGTGTTTTTAAAAACCAATTTTCCCTAAATTTCCCAGAATGCAACATCAACCTTCTTGACAGCAGCAGCAGCAGTAGTCGGTTTTAATCCACCAGAGGGAGAAAATAAATAAATAAATAGACAATAGGAAATAAAATAAAAAGAAAAGACAAGGTAAAAGGCAAACAAAACGAACAAGAATGGCATTCCATGAATGAGGCAGCATTTATCTGCCTTCGTGTTTCTACGTGCACAGACGCTGCACAATAATGTCGGTATCGCGAATTCCCCAACCATCGAATATCCCCAGATTCTGATTTTATTAATTTCGACCGCACGTTCACCATTCATTGTTAAGAATTTTTGAGATTTTTGTTCTTTTGCAGAAAGTGTAAAATAACATCGGGAACGTCTTTATATTATTATGTTTTTTTTTATAAATTTCTTCTAACTCATCTAGTCTTCATTGAACATATCTTTCTTATTCTGAACTGTCTATTTACATCTATCTATCTATCTATCTATCTATCTATCTATCTATCTTTTATCATTACTTATCTATCTATCTATCGTCACTACTTATTTATCTATCTTTTGTCATTACCTATCTATCTATCTATCTATCTATCTATCTATCTATCTATCTATCTCAATCTGCCTATATTATCTATCTATCTATCTATCTATCTATCTATCTATCTATCTATCTATCTATCTATCTATCTATCTATCTATCTAATTCAGTTTGTTCATTATCTATCGACGAGAAATAATCATTACGTAATGATTCTTTGAGCATTCTAGTAACATAATCTTGATGACATAATTTCTGTTCATGCTCTACACAAAGACAAATTATCTATTTTTGTCAGTATCTATCTATCTATCTATCTATCTATCTGTCGGATTATGTTCGTATCTATCTATCTATCTCAGTCTGTTCGTATTAATTGATCCACCTTCGGACCAATGTTTTACCTTCTTATTTAGCAGTTACGAAATGATTCAGGGAGAAAACTATTTATTTTTTAAGATGAACTGGGCTGCTGCTACACACTCTTAGCGTACATAATGTAGATGTAAATATCAGTGTAATGGTTACGTCCACTATTTTTTTTTTACTTTGGACAGGCACACAAATGGAATCAGAAATTGATTGATTCATTTTCTACTTCTTTATATTTAAAAGTTTTTTATTGGAGATAATAATAGTTTATCAATACAAGTTTTAATCTAATTCACCTATATCTGGGGAGAGAAGAGGTGGATTCATATCTTTCCCAATGTTATATGCGCGTCAGTGAATATAACTAACCCAAAGGGAATTGAAACTCGGCTACCTGCTTTCCGCACATCCAAGTTTACAGCACCTCGTTTTCCCAAGCGGTCACCCATCTCGGTTCTGACCAGGATTGACGTCGCTTAACTTCGGTGATCGTACGAAAACTAATGTTTCAACGTGATAAGCCCTGGAATCTGAAATAAACCGCTCCGCACACATATATACTAATGATGATATGATATTTACCTACCGCCCCACGCGGTCGGATGTGGCACAAGGCCGAGTTTATTGTGGGGTATCCGAGCCCGTAAGCTCGGGCAAAAATTCCTCGTAGACACCGTAAAAAACGGGGTCGGGTAGCTGTCTACCACTCCAGACGAGACTCTGCCCTTTGGCATAGCCTCGTCTGGGTCCCTCTCTGCTCAGAGGCAGAGAGTTCGACAAGCACACCTCCGAAGTACTACGTATCGTGATCGATATATACTGATATGTTTATATACAATATGCGCCAGGTAATTGAGAACAAATTATAATACAAAAGCATCGAAGGACAAGCAACCTGACAACCTTGCCTTGTATAAAGTATGTTTTTTTTTGTTTTGTTTTGTGTTTTGTTTTATGGAATATCAAACTCAATGGGTTATTTAATGCCAACAAGAATTTTATTGCTGGTAATATTTATCTTCTTCAAAAATGTATTCCTGGTATTTAAAACCTATTACTACTACACGTTTACAGTGCTTTGACCTCAGCTTGGGGCTTAACTATTTGTCCATAGCTGGGACCCTAACAGGTGCTACCATCCCGGGTCAGGATGGACCTGGGAACACCAGCAATTAAGAGATGGTTCCATGCTCCTCAGAGGATTGCTGCCGGATGTAGTTTATCGTCATACCCAGGACGTAAAAGAACGGGTACTGGGGTATGGTGGAAAGACAAACATTACTGAGAGCTACAAAGCATAGGAAGTTGTGGGGAGTCATGATCGTCCACATTCTGAAGGGACAGACACACAGAAGAAGAATGGATTATATATGAGGTGCGTCAAGTAATTAAGAACAAATTGTAAAACGAAAAGGAACGATTAATGATTATTATTTATTTATAAGTAAAATCATTGTTATTATTTACATTATTCGGACTATTGTCCTCATCTTTGTCGCCATATTTATCACAACGTTTCGGCCGTTGTACGCTCCGGCCTTCTTCAGGTGGTTAGAATGTCGAACTGAACCCTTTATTCCGCTTACTGGGGTAGACTGTTTTAGTTCCACGTGCCATGTTTGATGGATGTCAGTTATCAGTTATTTCCTGTTAATTTCCCTCTGAAAGTTCTCCACTGCCTTAACCGGGTATTGAACTCACACTCTGTCACTGGATCTAACCAACGCCTTTATCCACTGTGCCATGTGTCCTATGGGAACCAGTAATAAGGTGTGCCAGAGAAAAGCAATAATAACAACATAGTTGCAATATGAGCTCTGGTAAAAACGTGAAATGATAACAGCAAAAATTGCAATATGAGCACTAGTAAAAATGGTTGCTGATGACATTAGGTTTATAATACCCAGAAATTCATAGCCAGATGTCCTCAATTGATAACTAAATCTGCTATGAGCATCTTCCTTCGGATTTCGATTATCGCCGCCAGAGTGCCAACGTTTCGATGCAGCACTCATCAGAACGTAGGCCTACATTCTTGTGTGCGTTGTATGAAAGAAACATTTCAGTTGATGGGTTTTCCCAACTTCCTATTCCTTGTGGCTCTTAGCATTCTTTCTCCCTTTACTAAGGCTCCCTTACTCCGGTCTTCGTCCCGCCATCCATTAAAACAAGCTCGCCAGGTATGTGGATCGCTGTCTTTCCCTATCTCTCTTGCCCTCAATATGCCCCGTGAGACCAAGACCTCATTATGTTTCCAAGGAATTTCAGCTGTCTTTTCCTGGTTCTGAGTATAAGTGTTCTTTCAGTTGACATTTTCTTTAAGACTTCCTTGTTGTTTTCTCGCTTGGAATTCTAAGTATCCTTCTGTAGAACTACATTTCTGCTGCCTCTATTTTTTCTCCTCATCCGTGTCCAGTATTCACATAGCAATCTAACGCTGTTTTCTTTGTTTCTCACGAAATTCTTCAGCACCTTGCTAAAAGACAGGGTGTTTAACAAATACATTCAGCTCTTCCTCTTAATATCGTTATCGCGTTCTTCTATGTAGCGCATCCCTTAAGGGCTTAGGCAATCAAAGCCCTCCACAACTTCCTATCTCGTGTGACTCATAGCTGTTTTTCTCCTTTTGCTAATGTACCCGACTCCCGTTCTTTCATCCATTCACACAAGTTCTTCAGGTAGGTGTAGTCCGCTGCCTTTCCCTATTGCTCTTGTCCTTGATATGCCCTGTGAGGGTTAAGTTTCCCAAGCCCACATTAATCATTAATTGCCCATTTTTCATAATTTCATCTGACTTTTCCTGATTCTGTGTAGAAGTATTCTTTCTGTTGCTATATTTGTTAAGGCTTTCTTGATGGTGACTCTCTCCGTCCATGGAATTCTCAGTATCCTTCTGTAGAACCACATTTCTGCTGCTTCTAGTTTTTTTTTCTCATCCATGGGAAGATTGTCCAGCATTCAATGCCATATAAGAGGTTGGATAGGACATAGCAATCTAGCACACTTTTATTTTTTAGCTGACTATTTTTTTCCGTTTCTCAGCACCTTGATTAACTGTTGAAATACTTCTTTCACCAGAGTCCAATGCGTGTTTGGATCTCGGTGAACCATTTCCAATCCTTTCTTAAAACTCTTCCCAGATATTTGAACATCTGCACCATCGCTCAGCGCTGTTCTCGTTGGCTCGGTCACGTCCTGCAACGACCTGATGACACACTCCACCCACACAGACACTATGTTCGAACCATTATCTGTAAACTGGCGACGTCCTCACAGCAGAGCGCGCAGCCGCTGGAAGGCCGTCGTTCAGCAGGACTTCCTGTAGATAATCTTGTGCCGGAGGATGTTCTGACACCCTGCAAAGACCGTGAGAGCTGGAGGGCCAATATGGCTCTCGTGATTTCAAGGCCTTCTTATGACAAGAGTTGGCGGCAGCAGCAATCTATCTATCTATCTATCTATCTATCTATCTATCTATCTATCTATCTATCTCTCTCTCTCTCTCTCTCTCTCTCTCTATCTATCTATCTATCTATCTATCTATCTCATTCTCTTCATTATCTATCTCATTCTTATATTATCTATCTGTCTATCTATCTATCTATCTATCTATCTCTTCATTATCTATCTGATTCTGATACTATCTATCTATCTATCTATCTATCTTGGCGACAGCAACAATCTATCTATCTATCTATCTATCTATCTCATTTTCTTCATTATCTGATTCTGATAATATCTATCTATCTATCTATCTATCTATCTATCTCCTTCTCTTCATTATCTATCTCATTCTGATATTATCTATCTATCTATCTATCTATCTATCTATCTATCTATCTATCTATCTTTCACTTTGTTTATATCTCACCTTGGAGATTTGGATAAAAACTTCAGACGGACTGTATATATCAAATTCATTAAAAACTGTACACAATTTTTTTTTTTTATTCAGGTAAGTATTTTTTAACGAAGTAAGATGCGCGAATAACATTTTGCTGAAAGCGAATTCAGGAGGGAAACTAGAAAATTTCCTGGCAGAGGAATTCCAGAATGAAAGAGAAACCAGTGATTTTATGAAGACAACATTTATGATCGTCAGCAATGGAGCCAGCTAAAAGTGTGAACTTCGTAACAAGTACAGAAATTTAAGTATCTGAATAGTGGAGCAACGGACGACGAAAAGTTTGACGCAGTGATCCGAAGGAGCATTAGGAAGAGCCCTTCTCGAAACTAAGCAAAGTATTACGATTTAGGAAAATTTCGTTAGAAAGAAAGTAAAGAGGGTTGTGTGGTAGTGAATACTGGACAGTTTTGTCACAGATGCAGAAGAGATTCGAGTCGACAGCGATCTTGAGAATGCCATCGACAGAACATGTCAGCAATGTGGAAGTTCTAAAGAAAATGGATAATAGAAAGTTACTTTAAAATAGAAAGAGACAGATGAAATTTTCGGGGAATTATGAGGAAAGAGTACTTGGAAATTTCAACACTCACAGAAAATACTGAACGGAATCAGCAATTAACTTATCTAATGAGCTTTGGTGAATGAATGGCAGCGTCAAATGTTGCTTAGTGTAAAGAGAGATATAAAGCCCAAGTCTCAGGGGGCCTTCCCACCAGGCAGTACTTCTCCTTCGGAAGGAGGCTGGATTTATTACCCGACGCCTGAAGCCTCTCCAAAAAGGTGAAGTGCTTGAGGGGGCTTGGAAGATTTTTCCACGCTATTGTCGTTAAACACTTTAAACTGATATTGTGTCATAATACCTATACATAGCAGTGCTACATGTTTGTGCTACACTTATAATACCTTGCCCTTTAGCCACAACTATATGTTCAGTGACAGGCTGAAGTAACAGAACAGAACAATTACGAGGATTTCATGTGTTATTGTCATGGAATTCAATATCTTCAGTAAGATACCCATTTCTGGCAATAACACAACTATATGTTCGTGACAGGCTGGATAACAGAACAAAACAGGTTGAAAGATTTTCTTGTCATGGAATTGGTATCTTCAGAAGATACCCATTTCTGGCAATAACATTTCCTCAGGAAAACTTTAAAGATTTTCTTCGGGGATATATGGATATATATATATTTATATATATATATATATATATATATATATATATATATATATATATATATATATATATATATATATATATATATATATATATATATATATATATATATATAGTATTTTACATTAGTCGGACTATTGTCCTCATCTTTGTCGCCATATTTGTCACAACGTTTCGGCCGTTGTACGCTCCGGCCTTCTTCAGGTGGTTAGAATTTCGAACTGAACCCTATATTTCGAACTGAACCTTATATTTCGCTCACTGTTCTAGTTCCACGTGCCATGTTTGATGTTAGGGAGACAAAGGACTATGAGTTCAATACCTGGTTAAGGCAGTGGAGAACTTGCCGAAGGGAATTAACAGAAGATAACTGATTAATGACATCCATTAAACATGGCACGTGGAACTAGAACAGTTTACCCCAGTGAGCGAAATAAAGGGTTCAGTTCGGCATTCAAACCATCTGAAGAAGGCGGAGCGTACAACGGCCGAAACGTTGTAATAAATATGGAGACATAGATGAGGACAATAATTCGAATAATGTAAATAATGTCTTCAAGTATACAATATTTATGGCTAAAAGTGCTCGATATAAGAGATACAGCGTATATAAATATAAAAGTGGACACAGACGTAAACGCCGAGCGGTGACAGTCAGTTTCATGCTTGAATACCATCTTCGGGTCATTAGAAATTTTGTTTATGCGCGACTGTTTACATATGCTGGCCATTATGAGTAGCAAAGTCTATCATATTACTCTGTCATGATGCCATTTCTGACCTCACGTGTACAGCCCACACCTTGCGAAGGGCTTTATGTAAGTGCAAGGTGTTCTCACGTGTACAGCCCACACCTCGCGAAGGGCTTTATGTAAGTGCAAGGTGTGGGTTGTACACGTGAGAACAATTTTTTGTATTTTTTTAAGGCATGGGCTTCCAGGAGTCCGTTTGCTCTAACTACAACTGGAATTGTTGATGTTCTCATTTATCACTTATTATATTGTATTTACATTCATAATTTGTTAATCCGTTTATTAGGAGGTACGGTGCAGCAATGGATTAGCAGCTCAGATTGAGGAATCGGAGGGCCGAGTTCGAATTCTAGTCGATTCCATTCCATTCATTTACATGCTAATCCTCTTCTTCCCCCCCCCAACAGAGCAATAGGTAAATGGGAAGACAGGACGGATTCTTATAGCCTTGGATGACAACTGGTCTACTGCAGAAAGAAATCGTAAACTACTGAGGGAAAAAAAAACCTGCCTCGTCAGTCATGTATCGAAAGATACATGATCACCTAAGCGTGTATCATGAATGGGACATAACTGAGTTGTTATTTAATTTATTTATTGAAGAAACTGTAAGACAAAATGGAAAAAGTTAATTTATGATGCGTTTCGTTCCTTAGGATTTCCTCGGACTGGGTTTGTTGATGTTGTTGTTACGAGATATGAGAGAGTTTCAACATTTTTGGAAATAATTTTTACAATCATCTATATTCTTTTTCTTTTTCTTTCCATCACCTTTGTTTTTAAGTATCCCACATTATGATAACAGAAAATCTGTCTATATTTCTGATATGTGGTATTATGTACATTATTTACATTATTCGGACTATTGGCCTCATCTTTGTTGCCATATTTATCATAACGCTCCGGCCTTCTTCAGGTGGTTGGAATTT